GAAGTCCTTCTGTCTCATTTGTGACTGTGCGTTGAATGAATAAACGGATGAATCGAACTTCTTGTTCTTGAATGAAAAAAAATGAATATTCAATTCAAATTAATAAAAAATTTGGGCTCAATCTGAAGAGAGTCTCCGGCCCAGCACTGCACAAATATGCTCCAGACATATATATCATATATGTGTGGACATATTGTGTATTATGGACATATTGTGTATCAAGAACGAAACAAAAAGCGGATATAGTCGAATGGTAAAATTTCTCTTTGCCAAGGAGAAGACGCGGGTTCGATTCCCGCTATCCGCCCAAAATGAAGTCATTTATTTAATATCATAAAATGTAAGTCCGTGACCCCTGGATGCCGAAGGCGTCCTTGGGGTAATCTCGTAGTTCCTACGGGGTGGAGATGATGGGGTCGGTCCATGGATTTTCCTTCCTTTTGCCGCATTTTTTTGTATGAATGGAACATTTTTCTATAAATCTCTATCTAAAAAAAATATCTAATAGAAATATGCAGAAATATAAATATAGAAATACCATAACTAACAGAAATAACACGAATAAATAAATTATATTTGACTCTGCCTCTTCAAGTGACTCAATAAGATAGACTGGTATCAGTATCTATTAAAAGTGTACAAATAGCATTTAACTTGTAAGAGTACTCATGAATATGTGGATTTATATGATTGATAATATCACAAATATTATTTTATCTCTAGTAATGTCTTTTATTTATGTTGCTTTGAATGATTGATGATATCACAAATGTTATTTTATCTCTAACAACGTCTTTTATTTTAGAAAAAAATGTTTAATCAAAATATTAATCATAAAGGTTATTTTGATTTGTTTTAACATTAAAAATATAATTAAGTTTAAATTGTTAAATATACTTGGGGGTATAAAATAAAAATTAGAAAAGTAAAGGATGTAATAGATATATGAAAAGTTTAAAAGTAACAAATTATACAAATTATAGGAGTTAAAATGAAATTATGTAAATGGTTAGAAATGAAAATATAAATTTGTTGTTCTTAGTGCTAGTAGTGTAAGGGGTATGAAAATTTTAATAGGTTCATGTAGGATGGGGTATGAATAAAATTTACCGATGAACAATGCTAACACAATTTACATAAATAAATTTTATTAAATTAATGGTAATGATTAAATAATAACTAATATTCATTTTTTTATTATATTTGAACTTGTGTTATATAATTTTATTTTATTTTTAATTGTCAAGTTTTATATTTTAATAATTAAATTACAAATAATTATATTAATATTAATAAATGAATTTTGATCAATTATAAATGATTAAAACATGTAAGACTAAATGACAAATTTCGTCCATATGGTTATACATAAGTTATGGAGTGAGTCAATCTTGTTACGGATTAGGATGCTTGACCCAACTCCTTTTAACTTTCATTGTTAACTCACTCACATGTCGCTCACTTAAGGGATACTTTACAATTAGTTTGTTGGGATTTTTTAATGTATAAGTTATAAAGCTTAGGTGTAGGTATAAAAACATTTAAGAAAACAAAAACAAACCCTAAAATTACAAAAACAAAAATGAAACCCGGTTTGGACACGAGGCAGCAAGCGCTGTGGGCGGAGCAGCAAGCGCTAATTCCCAAGCTCCCATTGGTCCCCACCGCCGATGGTTCCTCTCCCCCTAATCTGGTCTTCCTACCTTTTCTTCACTTGATTTCACCTTCAAACTCCGACCATCTTCTATAACTCTTGATCTCCACGACGAACCTCGGGATGGAAAACCTAACCCCCCTCCGCTTACCATGACATAACCCTTGTTTTGTCTTCCTTTGATTTCTTGTTCGAGCTCCGACAACCCACCAACCAACATAGAAGAATCAAGGTACCACGATGTGGTTTTTGGTTCCAATATCAACATCGACCAAGTGAGGCTTTGAACCAGAGACAACATCGAGGTAGGTTAGGGTTAAAACTGCATTTTCTGTCTGAGTCGCATATATAGTGGTTCTATTTTTTACTTGATTTCTCGAAAATATTCCATGGAACTCGGTCATGTTTTTGTTGTTGTGATAATTGATGAAAGTTCTCTCTATGAAGATTCTTCCATAGGTTAGGGTTATTTGCTTAGGCTCTTCTCCACTTCTCTTGCTATTGTGTTTTCCTCGTTAATAGAGGGTTTTGTTGATTTTGTTCTTCCAAAATGGGTTTTATTGTTGATTTTGTAATGGATTTTTGTTATTGATTTTGTTCTTCAAAGGTAGGTTATCTTATGATTTGCTTTTAAAACATCGGCTATGTTCTTAACTTTGTTATTCAACAAAGGGTATTGTTCTTGATTTTATATGATACTTTATGGCTGGAAAAGCTGACCCACGTGGCCGTAGAAAGGGGCGGGCCGGAAAACAGGAGGGACAATGATGTTTGAGGGTTTTAGTTTAGATTTTTTTTAGCTTTACAAACTTGTACAAACAACATTGAAACTTGTACAACAAAAAATACTAAAGAAAATGGATGAAATGAGAAAAATGCGCGTTACGTGAGAGGTTTAATGACAACATATCTTATGGAATTAAGGCAAGGGTATCAATTTGTAATACAAATGAAACTTTAGTGAAGGTTCGTGCAATTATTTCATTTAGAGACTCAATCCATAATTTTCTTATAACCACAAGGATGAAAATTGTAATTTACTCTATCAAATTACTAAATATAATAGTTTTGAAAAATGATTGGGATTGCATTGGCGAGGATCATCTAATACTGTTAAATCTTATGAAAAAATTCTTACCAAAAATTGGAAAATAATCTTATTTTGTACCGAAAAGAACAAATTTCATATCGATGCCAACCCAGCCGATGGAAAATTATACAATAAAAGAAATCAAATTAAAGGGTAAAAGAAAAGGTTAACTTGTTTGTTTGCCGTTCGTTAGGGTTGGTTGTGACCCTGGTGGTGGTGTTAGGAGGAAAGAGAAATATTATACAAGTTTTAGACAGGCAAACAACAAATAGAGAGAGAGAACAAGAATCTATCCCCCTTCTTTCAGATGGTCGAAAAGAGGGTCTTCCTCTGAGATCATCTTGAAAAGGGCGGTCAAGAATTATTCATACTTCTTGATTCTTTTCATTTTCAAGAATCTATTCAATTCCATTTTATGTTACAATTTTTCGATTTCAAGCTTGTGAAGGTTTATTCATTGCCAATCTCATCATCATTGACATAATCATCATCTTGTTCTTCATCTTTACATTTTCTTTTCACCAACATTTTATCTAAAAAGATTGTTTAGAATATATTTTCATACACAAGATATAGATATCAATATAAAGGATAGACAAGTGATATAATTCCGACTTCCCGTTGTGACCTCATTTCTGGTAAGTTTTACCATTTGTTTGTTATTTTTCATCAATATTTGATCCTCATTTCCTTTATAATTGATTTCTTGGTGTGAGGCTATTCTTCTACCATTTCTTTTTGATTGTTTTTGGTTTTTGACATTTGACATGTAAAGTAAACACAATATTTGTTAAGTGTTCTGCTATATTTGAGATTTCCCATTTCAGCTTCCAAGTGAATCTCTTCAAGATATAATGTTTCCTAGATTGTGTTAGGTAATTGAATTTTAACAAAAAGATTGGAAAAACCCATTAAAATATGAGGAAGCCCCATTTGATTACTAACTTGAAGAGGGCTCTTGGTGATTTTGTATTCATTGTAATCTAGGTTCTTCATAGGAGCATAATTTGTTTGTTCGATCTATAAGGTGTTGCTTTATTGAGTGAGTACTCCATAGTCTGAATAATTTATTACTGATCAGAAGAAGGTTTGTTGCGAAATAAAGCTGGCGCCTTCTGATAGCCTTTGGTACTGGGGCGGAGTGTTGGCAGGAACAACTGCTGCCTCCACCATCACAACATATCAGTGCAATGGGGGCTAGGTGGACAACATGTGGAATCCAGTGTTCTTGTTTCCCACTTTTGATTCTTGTTCTAGCTCATGGGTGTTCTTCCCTGAATCTCGAGGGTATGTTCTTCCATATTTTTCGAATTTCAGGAATGAAAAGTCATTTTATGATCTATTTACACAAGCATTAATTAGTTATTTTAGCTAGTGAAGTTAAGTATACGAAAGTATGTGTTTCAATTGTTCTATTCCATTTATGAAACCAAAATGCAGGATTGGCATTGTTGGATTTTCAAGCAAGAGTTTCTCATGATCCATATGGGGCCTTTGTGAGTTGGGATGTCGAGGACCATAATCCGTGCTCATGGTCTCATGTTCACTGTGTCTTTGGTCATGTGCAAGCGCTGTAAGTCCACCGAAGTTTATCTATTAAATATTCAGTTATATGTGATTTACTTTGTATATGACTATCTTTTTATGTAGATCATATGCTCCCTTTATCTAAGATCATTGCAACAATTTGAATTACAAAATATTTCATAATAATTGCTAACATGTCGTCATTTGTGAGGTTATAAGTTATCTTTTCATTCGTTATGATCATCAACAGTCATTTGATTGTATCAATTTGACCCACAATATTGTCTTTATTTTGTGATTACAAAAAGGGTAATTACATACACTAAACCAACAAATGAAACAATATTCATTGAACTATATCCTCAGTGAAAAATGATATAGTTATTTTGTGATAGAGGGAGTAAAATACAAGCAACTCCAATCTTGAATGAACATGTTTTAATACATTTACATGCCTTTTTCTTGAAGTGATCTCAAAGGGCTATCTTTGGAAGGTGTCCTTGCACCCGAGTTAGGGAATCTCACTCACTTGAGACGTCTGTAAGTGTTGATCTTCTGTTTCAGTTTTTAGGTTTTGTTTACTTACATTCCATTATTAAACTATTGTAAGTTCAAGTGCTTATGACAATGCCATTAGTTCCATATCCATGGGATTCATCACATTATTAATATGTATTTCATTGGTGCGACTATACCATTTCCGAGCTACTTTCTACTACAGTTAATGTGACTATACCTTTTAGTTGCCCATCCCAAGTCATCGTGAAAGTCTTCATAATATTGATTTCAATACATCCGCTAATATGTAAGGGTATTCGACCAAGGTTTTACAATGATATTAATGTAGTTTTCAAAAAATTTATTGAAGGGAGAGCTAATTTTGTTGACCTTGAAAGATGTTCTAACTTTGTATTTTATCAGCATCCTCTCAGATAACCATTTTTCTGGAGTTCTTCCCAAGGAGCTTGGTGAGCTCAATAGATTGGAGGTACTGGACTTGAGGGATAATAACTTGATTGGAAGTATTCCACCAGAGATAGGAAGGATGCAATCACTAACATTTTTGTAAGTGTTGTAACTTATGAAATGTAAAAAATGTTACTCTTGTTAGTTGCTATATTGAACTTTTTGATTGAAAAAAATAAAAGTTTCATCTAAAAGTACTAGTACTATGAACAGAAAATGATTTGGAATAAATTAAAAAAAGAAAAAAAGCATACAGTGTTCACAAAAATTGGGAAATACAAAGTCAAAAGGTCAATATTTTTTTTTTGTTGTAAAGGTGTCCGAGCCAAAGCCCGACTAATCCCCGGCAAATTTGGAGGCTAAACATGGCCCCACTTAAATGTCGCCAACACTCCCCTCCCAGGGCTCGAACTTGGGTTCATGACTATGTCATGCCCAAGCATTTACCACTAGGCTGGAAGGTCTTTGACAAAGGTCAATACCATTGGATAAAGAAATCATGCTTTTCTTCTTTGTTTGTAGAGTACTTGATTTTCCTTTCCTTTCATCCAATTCTAATGTGTAGCTGAGTAAATTAGTAATGGATTATGAGTTTTGTTGGATCCTTCAAGAGTACAAATTTCACTTTCAATTTTGAGAAAAAAAAAGTCAATTTTTTTTTTACATTTGACGTTGTAATTGATACCAATTGAATTTCTATGTAATATATATGGCAATGACATATTTATAAATGGTTATAGAGAATCAAATCTCTAAAATTTCCTAATCTAAATTATTTTCTTTTTAATCTAATTCCATAACACTCTCCTCAAGCTAGAGCATATATATTGATCATGCCTCACTTGTTACAAATGTGTCAATATGAGCCCCATACACCACTTTTGTAAAAATGTCTTCCAATTGATCTTCTGTGGGAGCATATCTTGTTGTAGTTGATCTTTCTACAATCTTGTCTCAAACGAAATGAAAATCAATTTCGATATGTTTAGTTCGCTCGTGAAAAACAAGATTTTAAGTAATATGAAGGGTTGTATCATTATCAAACCAAAGCTTTGCTGGAAGTGCAAGTGCATAACCAATTTTCATAAGTAGTTGATGTCCCCATATGATCTCACATACTGAGTCATCATTGCCCTATATTTTGATCCAACCATCGAGTGAGATACCACATTTTGGTTCTTACTTCTCCATGAAACCAAATTTCGTCCAACAAACACACATTATAAACTAAGGTGAAGCCATAATCTGCATCTAAAAAAAGCTTCAATTAGACCAGTGAAACCATAAAAAAATACTCGATCCGACACACTTCTATGGTAGTGAAGGATTTTTTTTCTACAAGAACCTAAAGTTTAATTGTTGGAGCGGATATGAATCGACTGACAACACTAACTGCAAATGAGATGTTAGGCGGTGTTACTATAAGGTAATTAGTTTTCCAACAAGCCAACTGTACATCTCTAGGTCATAAAATGGTTCCCCATCATCTTTTCTTAGGTGTACATTAGAAGTTAGTATGATGCTACATGGTTTAGCTCCCAACTTTCCTATTTCATTTAAAAGATCAAGGACATACTTCCTTTGAGATAAGAAAACCCCTATTTAGTTCCTCATGATCTCTACTCCAAGGAAATATTTTACTGGTCCTAAATCCTTTATCTAGAATTGAGTTTGAAGAAATGTTTTAAGTTCTGATTTGCCTCAATTGCCACTTCCAGTAATTACAATATCATCAATGTAAAATACAAATGAAATCACATCATTTTTAGACAACTTGTAGAACATTGTATGATCAGACTTACATTTATGCATTCCATATTTTAAGATAACTTGACTGAATTTGCCAAATCATGCTCAAGGACTTCGTTTCAAACGATACAAGGATTTCTAGAGTTGACATACTTTCCCATACTCCCACTAAGTAACAAACCTCAGTTGTTGCTCCATATATACTTTTTGCTGAAGAAAACCATAAAGGAAAACATTTTCGAGCTGATGCAAAGGCTAATCAAAACTAGCTACCAAAGAGAAAATAGGTCAAATAGAAGTTAGTTTAGCAATAGAGGGAAAGTGTTGGATTAGTGAGCTCCACACAATTGAGTGTATCCTTTGGCAACAAGACGAGCTTTAAGACATGCTATAAATCTATCTTCTTGAAATTTAAATGCGAACACCCATTTACATTTGATTGCCTTTTTGTTAGCTAGGTAAATCTACCAATGTACATATACCATTATGAGTAAGGGCATTCATTTCCTCAATCATAGCAGCATGCCATCCAGAATGAGCGTACTTTAGCACCAATTTTAGGATTGGAATATAGTCCATTTTGGCAATGAAGGAACAAGAAGAGGCATATAGTTGATTATGAAAAATAAATGAAGCAATGGGATACGTACAAGCATGTTTACCTTTTCTAAGGGCAATAGATATAACTGGTGATAGTGGAATAAGCATACTCGGAAGATCATCTGACCAAGAGCATGATAAAGGATTGGGATTTGTGGTAGAATGATGTTCCCTTTGATAAACTTGAACAACAGGTGGTTGCTTAGGATGTTATATATGATAAGAAAGAGGTGTGCAAAGGAACTCTACAAACAACTCAGGAGTTGGTGTATGACAAGGTATCACATAGATTAACAAATCATCATCCTTCTCTTAGGAATTGGTGGTGGACATAAGGAAGAATGGAGTATTTTCCAGAAAAGTAATATCTCGAGAACTTATATAATGATTAAGTGTAGAGTTGAAATAATGTTACCCTTTTTGGAGACGACGATAGCCTATGAAGATACATTTTATAGATTTTGAATCAAGCTACATGATATGAGGTCTATTGTCATGGATGAAGCAAGTACTACCAAAGATATTAGGTTCCATAGGAAACACATATTTTACTGGCAGAAGTACTAAAAATGGAACATTACCAACAAGGATTAGTGAAGGCATCCAATTTATTAGAAAACAAGCTGTTGAAAAAACACTAGTCTGGAAACGTTTTGGAACGACCCTTTGAAAAAAGAAGTACTCGAGCAACCTCAAAAAGGTGTCAACTTTTTCTTTCAGCAACTCCATTTTGAGTTGGGATGTCAACACTAGATGACTCATGAAGAATTTCATGTTGGGTCATGTAAGATTGAAAAGTTGCAGATAGATATTCTTTGGCATTATCACTAGGCGGAATCTGAACGGAAACACCAACTATGTATTTCTTTCAACATGGGAAGAACAAAAATGTGCAAAAACTTCATATTGATTTTTCATCAAATAAAGCCAAGTATCATGACAGTAATCATCAAGAAAGGTAATAAAATACTTAGAACTTGCTTTGAACGTAACAAGACATGAACCCCAAACATCAGAATGAACTAACTTAAAGGGGGAATGTAGCCTACTCATTGACTCTAGGACTTAAATGAGAACAACGAAGTTTTGAAAACAATAGTCAAACTCTAAAGATGACAAATGAGAAACTCGAGGACATAGTTTTTTTCAAAATTTGGAGATATAGATGACTTAATGAACAATGCATCTCGAATAGAGATAATGATAGCTTTGAGCATATGAAGGACCTAGGTGTTTGAAGTTCAAATATGTAGAGGCTATTATATTCCCGTTCTTTACCGAGGATCTACTTCATCATAAGATCCTGAAAAACACAATGATCAATACAGAGGATAAGGAAATAGAAGGTGTAATGTTAATGGTGACAGATTCAAGATTTTGTGAGGTAGTCCCATTAGTGATTGTGACATGAGAAGATGAAGAATGGGTGTGCAATTCAGAAAAGAGACTAGGGTTAACTGGTCATGTGTTCCAAAAAATCAAAATCAATGCCCTATATAAGACATTGGATAGATTTACTTGTCTTGGCAAAGGTAGTTGTCTTGGTTTTCAAGGATATTGTAAGTTGAGCATCTTCATCAGTAGAGATAGTGATAGTATTCTCATAACCGGAAGCAACATGCTCAAAGGGGTTCCTTTGATCTTTTGCCAAAAGTTTCTTGCATGTGTGTTTGGTATGCTGCTTGGTATGCCGCTTGATACGCCGCTTCTTGTGGCAATAATAGCACTCAACATCATTAGTCTCTTAACATGGGACTCAACAATCCAGTCACTATGACTTTCTTGAGCATATTTCAATGTTTATGGCCAACACAATATCCACCACAAAAACCACCATGAGATCCCCTCCCCCCACAACTAATGAGAGTACAATTGTGTTGGCTAGGTTACGTAGATTGAAGGTCCTCATTATGGATATTCCAACAAGTGTTTCTTGAAGAGAGGGAATGGTTGACTCGTTCAAAAATTGGGATCGAAGAGCCTCAAATTTTGGTGTTTGGTCGGTCAGAGAACGCATCATGGTTATTTGCTCCCGTTGGTTTTGCATAACTTTCACATAAGCACACTGAGTAGGAGAAGAACATTGAGATCCTCATAGATTTTCCTGAACTCCATAGTGGTCAATGACCGATCTTCTTGCTTCCCCCCATGAAAAGATTTACACACATTATAAATACGCGATATATTGTTTTGCCCGAAATATATAAAATTCAAATAATCCATTAATTCTTTAACATACTCACAATGATTAATCAATGGAGTAACAAATGTCTCAATAGAGTTCCTAATTTGTAGAACAATCTGGCTCATCTTGTAACCGCCACCCTTTAGTATCGTTGGTGGGAAGCTCAGAGGTTAGATGACAATCCTTACCAGTACTCTCAAATACACACAATTAATCTTACTCCATTCATAAGTTGAAGTCCTTGAGTTTGTTATCAATAATCCGAGTTGCGATCGGCATTATATCAACCATAGTCAATTTCTTGGTCATGATTTCAAAGACAACAAATCTTGAAGCAACAATGTGAACTGATCCCAGTAGAAGCCCAAACAGAAGAATCAAATAGGTAATGAGACTAATAACCCAAAAAACTGAAGCTTGTCAAAACAAAAATCAGATGGTGGCAATGGACTGGGTTGGAACGACAATGGTGTGAAAAACACGTTAGAAAAGTTCCCTTGTGTGATTTCTCGCGTCAGCGCAATGGCAGAGGTCAACAACGGTTGGTGGCACAACATACGCGGCCAAGAAGGTCTGACTTGACCTACGGTGGTTGTGAGACCTGACAAGAAGAGAGATGGTACCCTAATTTAGCCCTTACCGTAATGTTTTTTTTTTCAAAAGAGGATTTGGTTAGTTTTGATACCAAGTAATTGATGCCAATTCAATTTCTATGTAATTTATAATACAATGATATCTATTTATACATGGTTATAGAGATTCAAATCTCCATAATTTTCTAATCACAGGAGATATTGTTTTCCCTTTTTTAAGCTTAATTCCATAAGAGAGGTCAGAGTTATTACTTTCAAGACTCAAAATTGACCTGGATTCAACAAATTTAGCAACAAGTTATATTTGCATTTGCTATATTTTCCAATTTGGCTATCAAATGTTTCTTGAAAATGTATACATTCGTAATGCAATTGAAGCTGAAAAATGTGTCCATATGACTCAATTGTGGAATGTCTGGTTTAAAAACATGATTTATATAAATGTAGACAGATACTATTGATGACACACAAAAAAAGGTTAAATTTGGTTTCCTTAATGCTTCCACAGGTTACTTTATAACAACAATCTTGAAGGAACCATTCCCCCGGAAATCGAGAGCCTCAATTTGCTCTACGAGTTGCAATACAATCATAACTTCACATTCGGTGTAACAGATGCAATTGGAAATTTAAACAGGAAACTCGGGCGCTGGTAAGAAATTTCAAATTTTATAGACGATAGTAATTATTTGCTAAATCTCATCTGAATTTGATTATGGTATGTATGCCACTTATGTTGACATATTATGACAGTATCTGGCAGGGCGGTTCTAATCATCTTAGGAATACAGATTCTCTTCTATCCCCATTTAAAGAAACTGTTATAAATTACCTCAAGCCGTTCCAACCGTAAGGAAGAAACATAGTTTTAAGCTCATCCCTTTCTGATGGAATATGAATATTCTGTTATCATATTTTTTCTGTTTCTCTTGAATTTCAGGTTTAGCAAGGGCATTTTAGACAATTCGTATGCTAATGAAGAAAGTAAGTTTGCATAACTTGATCAGATTTAGAGCATTAATATTGCATTATGTATGCACATACGTAGGTACGGTTATATGAACTATTCAACTTCAGTCTTTCTTAAAAGATAAAGACTTAAACCTTTCTATATGACTGTACAATTATATTTAATTCGTGATAACAGATGGAAAGATTGATATAAAAAATAATATGAAGATGACCAAAACACCTGAACAAGATCTCTCTTTGGCAACCATTGACTATCAAATACTAAAAGGATCTCAATTGACAATGACCCAAAATGTGTTTATGGAATCATCAAATAATGCTTTATATAGTTTTTGTTGTCACAAAATGATTCTGAATTCATGGTCATATTCGTGGGAATTTGAAAGGGAACTAAGAATTACTTGAATCTAGAAACTCAACAAAAAAATAAGAATCTTCCAAATTCTTAGGTGCATATAGCACAAGGTATTTGGACATAGGATGCATTCGATCATCTGTTTCTTTTGTTCTGAAATCCTGAATTATCAACAAATATTGTTCAAAATTGAGAATACACATAATAGAAGTCACAACTGTGTTACGGAGATGTTTAAACCAAAAATTTCCGTTCCAAGATTACTTCCCGTTCATTGTGTAACTTTTATGCCTGAAATAGTTCGAAATGTACACATTGATGGAACCCTTACAAGCCGTAAGCTAGCCGAGGAGCCTGCAAATCTAGTATCTGCATCTTCTTCTCGGGATAAGTCTGCAAGAAATTACATCATTGCTCTTCCTAGTAGCAGAAGTAGTGGATCTTTCCCTGCTGTCGGAAGGGAAAAGATTAAAATCTCAGATAGCCCATCTGGATCACCTGGAACTCCCACGTCAGAAAGTGAAAGTAATTCAGATTTGTTGAAGATCATGATTGGAGTATCTTGTGGAGCTTTCCTACTAATCACTGCTCTAGCTCTATTTCTCTACAGAAGATTTTCAGTTGTGAAGACCATGGGTCCATGGAGGCCTGGGCTTAGTAAACAACTGCAGAAAGCATTTGTTACTGGTAATTTTCATCCTTAATAATTATTAATATAGATGAAAATTTTAAAATCTGTAAGTAATAACTGGAATGACTATTTTTTGAAAGTTATAGTCATTAAGATTAATGCTATATATTCCACTGAATGCAAATGATTGAATGCCATTTTGGTGAAAATTTGGTGATCTTATATTGTACTTCAAGGGTTAAAGTTTGTCAGATAAGAGCTCTGGTTGTAATCCTCAATTTGTTATCAATATACAAATGTCGAGGTCTCCTATGGATGTATGTTATCACATAGATGGTGGAACTGTGTTAAATCATTGTGTCATTCATTTGCTTTACGTTACATTTATGATATTGTGATAGTGTTAAGATTACCTTGGTTTGTGAGTTTTGAAAACACGGGGATCCTATTTGTATTCCATTGTTGATTGTTGTGGGTTTATAGGATCATTTCATAAATTGGGAGTTTGGTAAATCTTGTGATAGACACAAGTATTCGTCCCAATAGTCATATATGCGCATGGTTTGGACAGAAAGTAGTAACATGGGTTCCTTAAAAGCGCAGGCATTCCTAAACTAGATCGAGCAGAGCTAGAAACAGCATGTGAGGATTTCAGCAACATTATCGAGACAATGACAGGTTGTACGCTATATAAAGGGACATTATCAAATGGAGTTGAGATTTGCGTTGCTTCAACGACCATCACTACACTCAAGGATTGGTCAAAACATGCAGAAAAAGAGTTTCACAAGAAGGTTGGCTTGTTTTGAGTTCTTTCAAACTTATTTAGACAACGAACTAGTAAATAACTCAACTGCGTTGAATTTTTTTAGATTGACACGTTATCACGCGTGAACCACAAAAACTTTGTTAACCTTATTGGTTATTGTGAAGAGGATGAACCATTTGCTAGAATGATGGTATTTGAGTACGCTCCAAGTGGCTCACTCTCGGAACATCTACATGGTAATCATCTTCATGGTTTTGACATTGCACATATAGTGAATGGAATCATCATTTACACATACAACTTGGTTTTCTTCTTTTATTTTCAGTTCAAATGCTTGAACATCTTGACTGGAGTTCGAGGATGAGAATTATTATGGGAGTTGCATATTGTCTCCAGTGCCTGCATGAGTTGAGTCCTCCTGTGGTGCATATACATCTGAATTCAAAAATGATCTATTTAACCGATGATAATGCTGCCAAAGTAAGCTTTTATTCTGGGACAGTTAGAGCGATCGTCCTTCTTGAGCCATTGTACTTGGCATTTTTACGTAAACAAATCATGATTCTTTTCGAATATGAAAAGAAAAGAAACTGCAGTTCGAGAGCATGAGCAAATTTAGACAAAAGTTGGTCGTTCTTGCACTTAAATATTCCCACAATTTGTCAAAAAAAAACCTCACTCATTTAAGCTGTAGTATATATCTCTTTTATCACTTTTACAAGAATATTCTCGTTAGTTTGCAAGAACTACAAAAATCGAATGGAAAATCTGAAAAATCTTTAGAAGAAACTTTTGGTTCACATCTCGATGATTTCCCAGGTTGCAGATATGAGTTTTTGGAGAGAGTTTGAATCGAAAGCGAAGAGACCAGAGGGAAATGAGTCTATGCAGCGATCGCCTGCTGATAAGGAGACAAACATATACAGCTTCGGTGTTTTTTTGCTTGAAATCATATCTGGGAAGCATCCTTATTCGGACAAACAAGAGCCTCTTGTAACTTGGGTAAGCTAAAAAAACCTTCTTGCACCATAACATAACAAAATCGGCCTTAGAGGACATTAACTATGTGTAAATGTCCTGATAGAGTGTATTATAGAACTAAACAAATGTTGGTTCTATATAAGGGTGCTACAATAGGATGTTAGGACATATATGAATATCATGTTAGGACATATATGAATATCCTTATAAGTTTTATCGGACATTTCTGATATTAAAATGTTATATTATTTTTTTATAGGATACTTTTAAGAAGTACTTGTCTTATGAGCACGTGTGTTATATATGTGGCACTTGCTTTTATTAACACACATTTTGCAAATAATGTCCTATAACTAAAAGAACGCTTTATTTTAAAATGGTCATAAAAAGTTTTCAAGAGACCCAAAATAGTCCTGTTAATTTATACATATTTGACTTCCTATATAGCCGATTTTATTGTAATGTTGCTTATCATAAATCATCTCTGGCAAGAATAACTGATGGTTGTTATTGTTTTCCCAGGCCAAAGATTTTCTTACCAACAAGCAAAACATCAACCATATAATTGATCCAAGATTAAAGTCTTTCAAGCAGAACGAACTTGAGGTTGTGTGCAAAATCATTCAAGATTGCATCCAAAAGGATGCTAGCAAGAGACCAACAATAAACGAAATAGTTCCAAAACTTCGGGAAGTTCTCATGATTTCACCCGAGCAAGCAACCCCTAGACTCTCTCCACTCTGGTGGGCTGAACTCGAGCTTCTATCAGAAGAATCATCATAAAAAACATTGTAATGATAGAAATCAAGAAAAAAACATATATTTCCTGTTGTTATTCTGTAAATGTGATATAATAACAGACTTTCTCTAAAGTCTTTGAGTTCTCTCATGTTTACATTTTTTAGTATATAATATTTATATACGACAAATTAAATTGTTGGCTTGATTTGTCTACAAACTATATTTGAAACAATGGAAATTCTATTATTGGGTGATTGATTTGTTCTTGATAATTATTATTGTGATATTAAATTTAAGAATTTAAATAAGTATAAATGGAGAAGTTGAAATACAAAAGACAAGCCAAGAACAAAATCTTTATAATAAAGAGCAAAAAGATTCTCGACCCCAAATTTGGTTTGGTTCAATGCTTTAAAACTCTAGACAGACCCTGAATATTTTTCAATGTTATTCATGTAATGATCTAACTATATTTAATAGGTAGAAGATATATTTGCATGCATCTCATTTTTTTAGATCCTATGTACAAGTCGGGTATGTTAGGTTCGTTTTATTTGGTTTTAAATTGCATAGGTAATCCAATCGTGCTATGGTTTTGATCATCATTCTGCATGCATGATGCCGAAATTATGTAAAATTTATTTTATATAATAATAAATGCTCTTTCATTTGGCTATAGGAGATTTCTTTCACAAGCAGTTATCGGTAGTATACCTACGTTCTTCTTGTACATTTTCAAGGCTTCGAAAGCAGTGATAGTTAAGCTAGAAAAACTATGGAAGGACTTTTTCTAGGGCATCGAGGAAAAAAAGATAAATTACTTGGGTTAAGAAGGGGTCACGATTAGAAGTAAAGAAAACCCCATTTTGGGTATTGGAAGTATCTTTGCAGCTAACATTGCTTTACTCGCCAAATGGGTTTGGAAGTTCATAAATGAATCGAGTTCGACCTGGGTCAAAGTGATTAAAGCTATATATGGAACTAACACAAGGCTTGTTATTGGACAACAAGGTGTCAAGATGGATGGTCACGGCCCATGGCAAAATGTAGGGGCTGACATAAATAATCTATCTAAACTCGGTATTCTCTTTGATTATCTATGTCTTAAACAGGTTGGAAACGGGGGAAATACTGGATTATGGACAGAAAATTGAAATGGAGTTGGGTTACTTAAGGATAGGTTCCCTAGAGCTTTTGATCCGGAAAGTAATTCAATAGCTACTATAGCTGACAGAATGGGCGCCTATGGTTACGTTTATGATTGGCGGAGGGATGTGAGAGGAGGTCGAGAAATGACTGAATTGAAGCAGGTGTTAGGGATTGGCACAGGCTAATGGCACCCCATCTTATACCAATGGCACCCCTATACTTAGGTTATCATTTTATTTTTTATTTTTTAATTATTTTTTTATCTTTTTGTTGTTTTTTTCTTTTTATATTAATTTTTTTAATTATTTTATAATAAATAGATACTATTACAAATATTATTTTTTATTCTATAAAAATATTAATATTAAAAAATATTGATTTTTATCATAAATTTTATAAAAAATATTGTACATTTTCTTTTCT